CAGAAGTTCCAAGCGTACAGAAATTATTGAATTGTTCAGGGTCCAGGTAGTGTAAATATGATTGTAAATTGTATATGTAACATTATGTAACTAATTACATCTAATTACTACTATACTATACTATACTATCTATATATACACATGCAATTATATACATGTAAATGTATGTTATATATATAGAACAGACGCCACACAATTGGAGCGTTTGGGTCATGAAGCCGTTTTGTTTGGGCTCCAGCAGCTCCTTTCGGAGTTCCGTGGAGGACCGGGTGCGCCGAAGGATGGGCCGGAAAACACAGACCTCAGTCATCACCTTCTTGGGAAAGCTTAGGCTTCCTCACTATAGGCTCCTCAGGCCTAAGGGTTTTCTTCCTGGAATCTTCCAGGACGTTCATTCCACATACAACCTTGGTACATTTACATGTCGGTACCTGTCATTTCATTACGAAAGCTTTATTGGGGTAGTGTTTGTTTCACCGACGCAAGCAGTGTTAGGACAGCATGTAACTTTTGGCGATGAGAGGGGTCTAGAATCATTCTTAGGCTGGAGGTATGCACACTCCATAAGACTGGAATATTTACATTGCCTCCATGTCAACCACCCATCTATGCATGATGCATGTAATGCGTAGAACATATTTAACAGGCAAAGCTCCGGAAGCCCGGTCTGGAGCTGTCTCCAACGAGTTCCTTTCCTCCACCGCGCCCAGGCGCGCGCGCGGCCGTCAGCTCCGCTGCGATGCCGTGAGCTTCGGCACTGCGGCTGGGCCGTGACAAGCCAAGCTCCGTGCGCGCAGGGAGGGCGAATCCGGACATGGAGATCGATTGAAGCAGAATTCAAGCAAAGACCACCATGGTCACTCCCAAGTATTTTTTGGAGTTCGCCCAATATCATACACATCCAACCAATGGCCGCGGCGAGAGATTGGTCGAGTCACACCACGCTCCTCAGAGAGCCCAAGAGCCATTGGTGGACGATTCGTTCACCGCTTGCTCTTCCTGGAAGGTCGTTGTCCCGGTCCAGTCATCACCGCACCGTGCCGTGTTTTCCCCATTCACGTTAATAGTGTTAATATCGTTAATTCTTATTGCTATACGTTGGCAGAACTGGAGGGCGTTTTTGTTGAGGGTTCTTTGGAAAGCTTTGATCACCTGGGACGGCCGTTTTTTCATTTCATCACAGGGCGTGCGAAGACCCCTCAAAAGACCTCGTCCTATCCCTTCCTCCTAAAGTCCAAGCGTTTTCTTACGACGTTTTCATGTGGGACTTGCTGATGGCTCTCCCGTAGGGTTTGAGCCAATAGGTGAGGGAGGTGAGGGTCGCAGGTTTGTCAAAAAGAGCATTCGGGGTCACCAAAATCGAGGGACACCCATTTTCTTTGCGTTTTGGCCCAAAGAACGGTCCGTACAGTTCTAGAGTTGGAGTGGGAGGCCAATGCCGTTCCCACAGTGACAAGGAGAGTCCACCAAGTATAGACCAAAACATGTGAACATATATCTTTCTCACGGTGAACTGGGTGCACATGGACTCCCATGCACTGCGGTGATCCTTTTGGTCAAAAGAAGTTTCAGTTTCGAGCAAGTTCCAAGTATACGAACAGTTGCAGTTGGCATATGCACATGTGTGAAGCGTGAAAGCAATCAGTGCACAAAGCAACACCGTGTGGTCATCAGTCGCGGTCCGCAATTCCGCGTGCCAACTCCTGTGACGTTGGTGGTCAGGTGTGAGACTTCCGTTGGCCCTGGGCCCCCGCGACTTGGGAACTCAGGTGGTCAAGCTTTGCAGCAAAGACTTGCAATGGCAGCAGAGTCTAGGCTGCTTGAAGCTTGGCAGACGGACCACCGGGCGTGTACTTGCCGTAAGTCGTCGCCTTACACCGTGTAAGGCTCGAATCGGCCTGGTGGATCGAAGCGGTCGTGGTTGGTGGTTGAAAGGCCGGTGGTTTGAACTCATCTGAACCAGTGGCAAGAACCAGGCATGCCTGGTGTTTTTGTTCTGTCTCAGAAAAGGGATATTGCGTAACAACATCATTGCCACCATCATAAAGCTCATTATATCATGGTCATAGCACCGGGCTTTGCCCGTGCTCACGAGGTTTGTGTGTCAAAGGCAAATATAGGATCAGTTGGGGCGGGTTGCCCCTACCTTTCAAGGAGTCGTAGGTGGAGTTTCTCAGAATATCTCACTGGCATTTAATTGGTCCATTTTCTTTCAGCTACCAAGGCACTCAAGAATCCCCAGGCACTCCATGGGACTGCCCATTGGGGTGGTGGTTTGGGGGTCCAGTCCCATGGACCGTGTGGGGCTCCGAACCCTCCCGGACCGAGGAACGAGGTGGCCTCCCGCGCCGTCCGCCTGCGCGGCGCCGTGTTGGTCAACGGGGTTCTGAGCACGCTGTCGGGAGCGGCTCGTTGGGCGGCGGCACAGGAGCGAAGGTGGAATAGCCTGGAGGTGGAGGCGCAGATCCAAAGCCATCCCTATACCAGCAAACCCTAAGGGGTGCCAATTGGTGGTAAGGGGTGTCTATTAACCACCCCTTAGGATCCAAACAACACCCCTTGGGGTCTCCTGGTAGACGAATCCTCGGACTCTGGGAGACCCCTGAACTCAGGGGTTGGGCAGGGCCCTAAGACTTAAGAGGATGTTGGAGGACGCTGGTATAGGTTCACTGACGATCGATTTTCAAACATGTAAGGAGTGGGCGGGGTGTGGGTTGGACGACCTTTGGAGGACACGATTGGATCATTTTGGATCATGTGGGACTCTTGATTAATCACCTTCTCCCTCATTTGAATTGAACAACCTCCTCTTCACATCGGGTGGTGGCCTGGTCCTTGAGTCTACATCACCTCTTCATATTGAGTCTACATGTGGGGGCCACTTGTTCGACTCGACTTGTTCGAAGACGGACACGACCGGCCTGCCGGACCGGGACAGCTCCGCCTGACAGGAGGGAGCCCGTTGTCGTCCGGCGGAGTCGGTTTTCGCCCTTCTGCAAGCAAGCAGTTTGGCCGAGAAGATGCCCCCTTTTGATCCCACGTGCTGGCCAAGTTGATCCAAGTAGCTGACCCCACAGCCAGGAGCTGGTGGCTCAAGGCTTCACATCTTTGCGGTGTAGTGTGATCACAGCGAACAGCTTGATGAGCACGTGCCACTTGGCGTGGGGTTTCACCAATCTCTGGTCTCCCCTGTGGTGCATCCGACAGGATGATCCATTGGTCCGAGTTCGCGGCCTTGCCCAGTGGATCCAGGAAAACCACTGCACCCGATTCTCTCCAGGTCTCGGAACTGAAGGCTGAAATGCTGAAAAGCTGACTGAGTGGTGACCTGGCGAAGTCGGTGACCCGGGTGCTGGTTTAGGTCACCAGTGTGTCCAGACCGGCCACCTTGGGAGGTTACCAGAGTGGTCCAACTGGGATGGGACCATAAGGGTCTCCAATTCGGCCCCTCCAAGCAACCGAAGTCTTGCCTAAGACTAAACCGGCCTGGAGATCTTTCAAACCATTCTGGTACCAGCACCTTTCCAACAGGTGGTGACCTGCTGGAAGGTCCTGGTACAGTATTTGTTGGATGAATCATCATGAATCAACAGTCAACAAGTCATGGACTTCGCCCGAATTGCTTCACAGCGCTGCCTTTCAGTCCCCGTCAGAATCGCCACTGAGACCAGCGTGCACAGCAGTGGCCCAGGGCCTTCGCAGCCTCGCGACACATGGCGCAGCGGGCGTTGGGCTTGGACGTGGTGACGCAGAATGTGCCCTGGAGAGCCAAGGAGACACAATTCAATTCGGCTCGGACGTAGAGGGAAAGAGTCGCGTGGGGTCGAAGTACACCACATGTCCCACTACACTAAGGGAGTCAAGATGAGTCAAGTCATTCAGGAACTGGAGAGTTGAACCTGTAACACATCATAGGTGGCGGGAAGGGTTTCAACTTGCCCCGCATACACATAAGTTCACCCTATTTGATGCACATTTAGGGTTCTGGATGTGCTTGGTAGCCAGCTTCGTTCAAAGGTCCACGCAAAACATTAGATTTCAAAGTCCAGAGAAGCCGTGCTGACTGAGATCCTTGGAGAAAGACAATCACGCTGAGCCGTTGATGTTATATTAAAGAGCGATATTGTCACGGGTCCATTTTCTTCCACTGAGTAAGAGTCCAAATCGAGATAACAAAACCGAGTCGCTCTCCCCGTTCCACCACTGGAATACGACAGGTGCTGGAGATGGAGTCAGGCTAACACAGACATATGACATATCCAATTCTGAACCCCAAACCCGCCAAACATACCGACACGTTGCAGCCGGGGGTCGGTCATTCTATGCTGCTTCATCGCTTATAGTCATAGTGTCTCTATCAACCAAGGGCACACTTGCAACAGCAAAAACATAAATATACACCTTCATCAGAGAATCAGAGACTCAAATTTACTGTATATAAAGTTTAAATCATATCAATTTTACACTAAAGGAGTTGTTCAAGGTGGACGCTGTCCCATTGATGGTCATGTCAGACAAAAACAAAGAGTGTTTGGAACTGCATGTCCACCTTCCATGGGACTATTTACCGACATTGGGGTGATTTCAGGGTGTTGTACATGGTTGTTACCGCTCTCTTTGAGGCCCTCATTCACTCCTCCTGGCGCCTTGGTTTGGCCTACCGACGCCTGACCCACCCCACGGCAGTGACCTTGGGGTCGTTGATCTCAGCACCGAACGAGGCGCGCCCGGCTCTGACACCATACCATTCGGCAGTCGACCTAAGCGTCCGTCACTGGCAGTCGACCTCCATCCATCCGGTGCCAGCACTGGGTGCTCTTTTGCTGCGTCGTTGATCAGGTATACAGTCGTTTGAGTCTCAGTATACAAGATGCATGCTGAAGTGGCTGAAAACACCAGGTTTCACTCTAAGGGGTGGGTCAAAACACATGACCTTCACCAAGTTGAGCTCCTTAACGGTCGCTTGTTCTCGGCCTTCGCTCGCCGGCCCGGCCGTTTCTTCGGCAGGACACGGCCAAGCGGCCGTCGGTGTGGGGGCGCTGCTTGCAGTTTTTTGCTCAGGCCTGACGTTGGTGAGAGCTCAGTGCCAAAAGAAACTTCGAAAAGACACCACGCCGTCAAGAACATAATATCACAACATGGAGGTGAAAGTACGGCAAAATGACCAAACAAATGCAGCTTTCCTTTGCTTTCCCTGAATTTAATTTAGCCATTGAACGTCTACAGGCGGATCGGAACATAGACCAGGAGGTCCCCTAGTCAGGGCCAGGGAGGTCCTCCCAAATACAAATGAAAAGAACAGACACACGCCCGTGTGTGGATGTCTTCCGCATCGATTGGGAAGCGCCTTGCAGGTGAGACACTTCGCCTTGCAGCTGAGCGTCGTGCTGTGCAATGCTGCCCTGACCGCCTGTGAGAAAGGATGCAGGTGGGGTAGGACTGGCATTGGGCACTAGCCCCACAAACATTTGTATACCAAGGACGCTACAGGGGCTCCTGGCCTTACTACGGAAATAATGGGAGTGCATATGTTTCCTGAGACGCTAAGCTTTAGGCCTTTCCTGTTTTGAAGCCGGACGAAGCACCAGAAGAGAAGCAGGGACATTGGGGCCTCAACCATGACTCATGTCACGGTTTTGTCACAAATGATCCAGATCAAGATCTTTCCTCTCCTATGTAGACCTTTTACTTTCCACCGGATGAGGAGCAAAGCCCATTGGCCCACTCGCACCGCAGCTATAGGTGGGCTTTGTCATTGGCTTTGATGTCTTCCTTCGGCCACTGGGGTGTTCTGCGGGGTGGTGTGAAAAGCGAGTGTACGGGTGGAGCCACCGCAGCAGATGAACGGATCCAAATGATGCACGGATTCCGGAACCAAACGGATTCGTAACAGATCGGAGTTGCATCAGACAAGCCTGGTTGAGTGGCTAGTCGTCAGACAGAACCCTTGATTTTAGTGGTTCCCTTGTTCCAGGTGCCGAACGAACGGAGGATAGGGGTGCCCAGAACATCCACTCATGACTCAAAAACATTCAAAAACCACCCTGGCATGTGACTCCTGGTTCTACGTGTGTTGATGTGTTTTCTACTGCTCTTGATAGTTGACACTATGCGTTGCCAGTTCCTGACATGTTGCAACCAACTCACAGGGGAAGTGTACATGTTCCAAACCCTGTTGTAGGTTGCTAGGGGCTTGAGGAAGGATGAGATCCCATGATAAGAACAGACACATCTACCACCCATGAATCACCCATGAACATCCATGAACGACTTGGGGGGGTCGCTTAGGGTCCCAGCCCTGCAGGGGTCAAGCGCACCATTTCCACTGGAGGTGTGCAGCGCGTGCAGCCAAACGCGGTGTCCCTCAGCGCGCTGGGCAGTGCCCTGGGCGAGTCCGACCGGCACAGCTCGACGAGTCCGAGTCTCCGTTGGAGGGCGTCGCTGGAGCTGGTGGAGTTGGTGGCTTGAAAGGAGGAGTTGGATGGGAAGATGGTTTGGAGTTGGTGAAGTTGTGGAGTTGGAAGATGATGGACGTGTCGTTTTTCTCCGTGCGAAATTGGGAAGCTGTGGACAACCACCCCGATCTGGGCGGAGTCCAGTCGTACCTGCGGACCCTCCAGGCCGTCGATCCCATCCACCCTCGATAGGAAGGTGGCAGTGGATCCATACGGAATGTCTTTTTCGCATGGTCCGGCCTCAAACCCGTGGAAGAGACAGAGGCGCCCTTACTATAATGACCCCTTTTTGGAGTGGCCGCTACTGGGATTGATCCAAATCCTATGGTGCGTGTTTCATCGTGTTTCCTCAACTACTTTCTTTCAAATGTATGTCCTTCATGTAGTTCAGCATCATCCAACGTCAGGCGTAGAGTCTACCCTCAAGCGCTCGCTGAGGCCCCCAGCATGCGTCCCACAGGCTCAAGGCGCTGCCGGTGGCGTTTTCATTTGATTGAGTCAGTGACCCAGCGCCAGGATGAGATCTGCCGCCACGGCCACCTTCAATGTCGCCATCAGCGCTGTAGGAGTATAGATGCGAAGCGCATGCTTCGCCTCTCAAAATAGCAAGAGAACAAGACTTCGGAAAGTTCAGGACCTTTTTCAAACAACAGGGAGCCCATGTTCCCAGACTCGATGGGACGACCCATCGATGGGACGACCCCATGTTGCTATTAGATGTCCGATGGAATGGGATGAGTCATTCGAAGTTCTGGGAATGTTGCGAAGGAGATGTACGGCACTGGGCCCAGAGCTTGCATTTGCTGGAGCGCCTGGTGACGTGGTGCGCATTTGGGCTTCGCTTTGGTCGGGCCATTTGCTTTTGTCGCGTTGGAGAAGTTGAGAACAACATTTTGCCATGAAAATGCCTCACCACCAAGCCTGAGGGTATGGGTGTGGCTTGCTCACCCGGATGTTTGTTTTTTGTCATGCTTTCTCATGCTTTGTGTTTCTTATTTCGAAGGCTGCAGTCTTTCTGGGAAAAATCATCCAGCTCGGCTAGCCAATTGGCAGCTCCCGCAAGTCGCGTGTCGCAGCGCCCCTGCAGCACCGCCGCACACGTCGCGAGAGTTCGCGTGTCGCGTAGGTGATGTGTCGCTTGTCGCCCAGTTCCACCACGGTCACCGCGGTGCTGTCCGCCGCGGGGGCGCAGGCACAGCAGCTGGTGAGGCGCTTGTGCCACGAGGTGCATTGAGTACTATAGTGAGGTGTGTGTGTGTGTGTTGGGAAGCCGGGTTAGATGTGTCCAGTCTATAAATGTCAATAGGGATGGGGTCCCAGTATAGTCGCTATACAGGTACATGCCATATACTTTTGGCTCAAGTGCCCAACCAGGTAAAAAGGAGCTTTAGCGCGCGAGCTTCATGTTAACCTAAGAGCTAGAACGGGGCCAGGGCACACCTTTCCATCCGTTCGCAGGTTATCAGCCGTATCCAGACTCCTTTGAGCTGGGTACGAGCTGCGGCCTTACACAACACCATCTAAGCGCACACGCATCGGACAGACCAGTTACCCTCAGTCACTGAAGATGGACCAATCCGACGCCAGCACTGCATCTTTTGGGGCAGCTGCTGCGGCCGCAGATCGGATGAGTGCATCCCACAACTCTAGTCCAGGTACGATCGAAGTGGAGACTCTGACAGCGGTGAGAGAAGATGCGACAGGTAGAGCACGAAGTCGTTCCCCGTCAGCGCACTCGACACCACCGTGGGGGACACCGAGATCAGGCCGTAGCCCTAGGGTTACAAGGAGGAGGACTGACACCGGAGCTGTGAGAGTGTTAGCATTGCAGGATGGGTCAGCTGTACCAGTGCCGTCGGACAGCGAAGCTGGGGATAGAGCAAGGGCAAGCACTGACAACCTACAACTAGCACGGGCCGATGGGGACCTGAATGCGAAGTGTGCGCAACTACTTGCCGAAGTGCATATGTTGAACCACCAAAACGCATGGATGGTCGAATGTGAGCAGAGACAGAACCAGATTATACAACACGAGACCGAAGTCCACGAAGTAGTGATGGCACACCTCGAAGAATGTTACGTCGAAGGATATGGAAATCAACGAAGAATCACCCAACTTACAGAATCCAGAGACTGTTTGCTCTCAGCAGCACACGACCTGCAATACCAGATGGACACTGATCGTGTGGCAATGCGGGATCGTCTCACCCAGTTAGGGGAGTACGCTGATCGCAACAGCGCAGAGATGGTTAGTCAAGTTGTGAACATCGGCACGGAAGAGATCCAGGCTATATCGGCAGAAAGAGATCGAGCCGTAACCGAGGTCATGACTACAATCGCAGATGCTGAGAACGTCAAGGATCTGTGTAGACAGGAGTTAGTTGGATTACAAAGGCAGAGTGCCAGGAACAAACACGAATATGCTGAAGAGATGAAGATGAGGGAAGCAATGTATGCAAGCAAGATCAAATGGTTATCAGAAGAGAATGAGGAGCTCAACAACCGATCTAATACTCAGGACAAGTTCATCTTGAGCATCAGAGAGCAATTGAAGAAGGCGAACGAGGAGTTGACTCAGACGAGGATTCAAGGATCCGATCGACCTTTTCAACCATCCAGCGCCGAACTCAAGAAGGCCGAAGTCAAGGTGAACATGTTGGAAGAGGACATTCTACGTAAAGAGAGGATGCTGAAACGTCTTCAGGAAGAATTGATCGAATCAAGCGCAAGTGAAGCACAATTGAAGGTCGCACTGAAGTTGAAACCAACAGACATGGGATCAGAACCCAGTGTGGAGAATGAGATGATGACCAAGCTTAGAGCGGAACTTGAACGTACTGAAAAGTCGTTAAGGTCCGAGGAGAAAGAGGCGATTGAGTACTACGAAGGTATGATGCAGAACCAACAGGACATGATGGAATTCGAAGCGCATGCAGCACGGCTCAGAGATGAGAGGAATAAGTACCGGAAGAGGTACGAAGAGGAGCGCATGAGTGCGGAGAATGCAGCCGCAACCGAACATGGTGCCGCTTCATCCTCCAGCTCAGGTGGCTCCAAGATATCTCGGAAGGAACACGAGAAGATCAACATCCCTGCATGGCCCAAGATACACGACCTGGAGGTTTGGAAATCCCAGGTTGTAGCGGCAGTCGTGACGGCATCGGGCGACGAGAAACAAGAAGACTGGATCCAATGGCTCTCGGATGCCTTCAGATCACCATATGACCCATTTCTACTCGAGACATCAGGCGAAGCAAGATTCGCTAGCATAGACGCTAAGCTGGGTATCACCCTACACACGATCATCCACGCAGCAGGTGAGAGATCTCATGACGTACAACTGAAGGTGAGGCAGATGATGCAGAGACGTGCGAGAGGCACAACTCCTGGAATGGTCAAGGGACGAGAAATGTTAGCGTTGATCGTCGATAGCTTCCGGAGTGCCGACAACGTTGATGTGATGTATGCATCCAAGCACTTATTCGATCTAAAGTTCCCTGGGGATAATCAACTATCCAGATTCCTTGGACAGTGGGATGAGATCATATCAGGTATGGATGCGGATGACATGCTTCCTGACAAAGCACTTCGCAACCTGCTTTGGGATAAGATTAAGGATTCCAAAGTTATGGCGTTAGACTTGTCTGTGTACGACAACATGTTGGATAAGGATCCGGATAAGACCTACCAGAAGTTACGAGAGATCATGACGAAGTGGATACGGAAATCAATCGAGACCACAAACAAGAAAGAAAGGGAAAAAGCTTTTGGGAACATCGTGAAAGCCACACCAGCGGCGGAGAAGAAGGACCCTAAAGCGAAACCCAAGAATACCAAGGCCGATCCACCGAAACATGACGCAGCTCCAGTACTTCCTCAGGCTAATCCGAAGGACCACAACAAGAAGGACAAGAAGCAGGATCGTGGAAGATCAGCCACGAAGAGCCCAAAAGGGGATCGTGGCAGGTCAGCGACTCCAGCAGATACGTCCAAGATAGGATGCGCTTTCCACTTCCATGGGAAAAACGGATGTTCTAGAGGAGACAAATGCAAGTTTAGTCACCAAGAGAAGCACAAGAGTTCTGCTAAGAAACCAGAAAGCATCAAGGGTGACAGATCAAAGAGTCCTGGTGACAGGAGCAGTAGCCCTAAGCCAATGAAGGATCAGGTCTGTTGGAATTGGCAGAAAGGATCGTGCAAGTTCGGGGACAAATGTCGACGTCAGCATCACGCTGCTCCTGCTACAAAACAAGAGGCTAAAGGCAAAGCCAAGCCCAAACCGGCTGCGCCAGCCTTCATGCTTTGCGGAGACATCGAGAGTGATGACGAGGACGTACAACCCGCACTTCCCAACGTACAACAAGGTAAGCTGGCGCTTCGCTTTAAAGTCAGATTCGATGACCGGGCGAATGTGACCACGTTCACCTGCGATCCTGGTAACGAGCTAAACACCCGTCCCCTCAGGAAGAAGAAGAATGAGGTGCAGAAGGTGGATACCGAGCTCATTTCGTCGTTGAGAGCCCTCAGAGTGAGCAATATAGCTGCACGAGTAGCACATGCCAAAGGTAAGATGATGGAGCTATACTATGCTGAACACATTGCCAAGGCATGGATACAAATCGCTCAAGATGAAGGAATCGAGGTGAACGTCGACCTGTCTGATTTCAACACCAGAGAGGTAGTAAGGAAGGATTCTGTCAACTACACGATACCAGGAGACACGATGTTCATGGCTGTGGAGAGGTATGATGGACCACCAATACGCTTCATCATGGACACGGGATGTGGACACGATTTGATCTCAAGAGAGAAAGTCAATGCCATGGGCCTTACCACCAAGGAAGGACCCAAATCCGTGAGCTTCATGACAGCGAATGGTGTAACTAGTACATCAGAGATGGTGGACATCAATGTGGACGAACTACCCATGAGGTCCGAGGCACACGTGCTGGAGAGCACACCATCAGTCTTTTCCATCGGGAAACGGTGCATGGAACAAGGGTACTCATTCATATGGCCGGCAAATCAATTGCCATACCTCATCGACCAGAACGCGAACAAGATTCCGCTATCGGTGCATGACAACATACCCTACATCAAGGTGAATGATGATGACGGGAGATGTTTACCAAGACCAGACGGCTTGGCTACGATACTTCACCGCATACTGTCAGGTGTGGGGCATGAAGACGAGGTCACAGCAGGTCAGGAGACACAACAAGAGGAACTTCCGCCCAAGAAACCACGGAGACGGAGGAGAAAGAAGAAAGATAACCAGAGAGATCAGGATGGTGAATCTGATATCAATCCAGCTGTTGCAGGCGTCGAAGGAGAACCAGAGGAACACGGTGATGACGGGTATTCTCCTGAAGAGGAATATGACGGGGAAGACCCGAGATTCGATCGTGATCACGAAGGTCAACCTGAAGAAGCCGGAGGCGACGAACATGGAGGTGATGCGGATTCTGAACGAGAGGAGAGTGACATTGATGAGGATGAAGAGGGACTATTGGAAGTCGATGTGGTTGACGGGGAAGCCAGACTATCAAAACCAGGAGTGTTGAAGAACGAGGCGAAATCCATATTGCACTTGATGACGCACCGATACAAGAACCCATACTGCAAGTCATGTGTGAGAGCAAAGATGAAGCACTACAAGACTAGCAAGGGAGCTTTCAAACGGAAATTGAAGGCATTCGGTGACCTTATCACTTTCGATCTCATGAACACTCAGAAGATGGCGAGAGATGGGATCATGCCGGATAAGGACATATTGGTGATTCGAGATCGGTTCACTTGTGTGATATGGGGCTATCCATTGAAAGCAAGCAATAGTGACGAAGTGGTGCAGGCAATGAAGCACTATATCGGTAAAAGAAAGGTCACCAACGCTTACTCGGATGATGCGCCACAATTCGAATCAGCCCTCAAGGAACTCCGGATTCCACTAGACCAGTCGCTTCCAGGACATCCCCAGAACAATTCACTCGCCGAAAGAAACAATCAATTCATGATGCTTACCACATCGACATGCCTACTAGAAGCCGGACTACCACCATGTTTTTGGCCATTTGCAGTGGAATGCGTAAGCCATTTATTGAACATCGAGAAGCTGAGCGATGGCAGCAGTGCATGGTTGAAGTTGCACAAGAGCGAATTCCCAGGCATGGTGATACCACTTGGAGCGAAGGTGTTCTTCAAACCTAGTGATGCGAGAGAAAGAGA